TGTATGGCCGGTGTGTTAAAATTGTGCCAGGCCGACCCAATGAATTTTAATAAATACAGACGCAGAAATAAAGGCATATCTGGCTATATATCTGATAGGTATACATTTAACTATCTAATTGCCGGGTTGATATGCATGTCTAGACTGATAAACATGTATTTATTTCTTTATTTATGGATGTATACGAATATTCTTTGGGTCGGGCCTCGCACAATTCTAACAAACCGACTGTTAAGGAATTCCAGATTTATAGACCCAATAGGCGTATAAAAAAAGCAGTATTTCCTTTGTCACTTTTGCTTTATTTCTAATTGAGCGAATAAACGAACGCGTGTGTCATGTGACCTCACGTGACATCTGATATGCACCGTGATTTGAACTTTCTTTGGCTTTAAATGCAGCCCTCTCGTCCCAGGAACGTAATCATTCTGTATGTAATTACTAATCTATAATACCATGGAACTACTCTATATTTTCACAAATTATGCATTAAATTGTTATGTTTCCTAATACTTAAAAAAACATAATTTCGCTCAGTTTCATAATACTAAAAACAAACACGATTTCACTCGAAGCTTGTTTACCTGTCGGGAAGAATATCGATTAATTCTTACTCGTTATGCACCTCTGGTTCGATCTGCGCTGACGACGTACACTTACATCTGCTCCGTCGCCCTGTCATTGACTCGAGTCGTCGCTACTGAACCGTGACAAGGCCGCGCCACGTCACCGAAGGGACGAGTCACGTCAGGGAATGAGACTGGAATAGGGAGGGAGAGAGAGAGAGAGAAGGAGAGAGAAATAAAGAGAATGTTTTAATGCTAATATGGAGATAAATATGTATATACATTACACACACGCGCGCGCGCGCGCACACACACACACACACAAACACACATACACACATATATATACATATATATATATATATATATATATATATATATATATATATATATAAAGAAAGACAGTCGCAATAAGAACAGCAGTAAATCGTGACGTTTCGCTTCCTTGCAGATTCCTTTCCAGACGGATGCGATGAAGGATTTTTTTCCACCGGAGAATCTTTGGAGAATCCGAAGAGTCACGATTTATCGCTTTCATCATCCTGTCGCAGTGATTTTCTTTTTCGTGTACCCATACCACTATGCAGATACATAAGCGCATTTATAAACACACACACACACACGTGTGTGTGTGTATGCTAGTATACAAACTCTTATGGTGAAGCAGGTACATGCAGATACATACGTGCATGTATAAACACACACACACACACACACACACACACACACACACACACACACACACACACACACACACACACACACACACACATATGTGTGTGTGTGCTAGTATACAAACTTTTATGGTGAACTAGATGCATGTTTACGTTATTTAAAGCTCTATTCAGCACCTGGATTGCGTATGTGTCAGATGCAGACCTAAATAGATCATTATGACTACGTACGTTGTCACTGTATTCATTTACTTGTAATTCAATAATTTTCTCCATGGCGTAATAAATGTGGTATGTCATTTATCACAGTTATCTTTTGCAAAGTGATAGCAACGCGGTAATGCGATACATTCAGACATATTTACTTCTGCCACGCGGAGGTAATCAGCAAAGACAACAATTTTAACGAAATAAAATTGGAAACGCTGGAGAGAAAATTGTAGTTGGTGTGAGATCGCCGTAGTTTATGGTAACATTAAACAATAAAAATGCCAGCCACTCGACCGAAACTCGAGTCTATATATACACGAGTCCACATTTAGTCCAGCACAAGTGGGATACGGGCTTACGTCATCTCTCCCTCTCCCATCGCTCATCTCTCTCTCTCTCTCTCTCTCTCTCTCTCATCTCTCTCTCTCTCTCTCTCTCTCTCTCTCTCTCTCTCTCTCTCTCTCTCTCTCTCTCTCTCTCTCTCTCTCTCTCTCTCTCTCTCTCTCTCTCTCTCTCTCTCTCTCATTATCATTATTATTATCATTATATACTTTTATCTATTTTTGTGTTTTACTTCCTTTGAGAATGCAAGATTGAAACAATAACGGAAGAGAAAGATACACACACACACAGCGAGAGAGGGAGAAGGAGAAAGAAAGAGAGAGAGAGAGAGAGAGAGAGAGAGAGAGAGAGAGAGAGAGAGAGAGAGAGGAGAGAGAGAGAGAGAGAGAGAGAGAGAGAGAGAGAGAGAGAGAGAGAGAGAGAGAGAGAGGGAGAGAGAGAGAGGGAGAGAGAGAGAGAGAGAGAGAGAGAGAGGAGAGAGAGAGAGAGAGAGAGAGAGAGAGAGAGAGAGAGAGAGAGAGAGAGAGAGAGAGAGAGAGAGAGAGAGAGAGAGAGAGAGAGAGAGAGAGAGAGAGAGAGAGAGAGAGAGAGAGAGAGAGAGAGAGAGAGAGAGAGAGAGAGAGAGAGAGAGAGAGAGAGAGAGAGAGAGAGAGAGAGAATGATACGACACGAGAGTGGAAGTGAAAGAGAGAGTATCAAGACAGAGAA